GAACTAATTTATAAATATATATAAATTGTAGTTTATAAATATGAATTAATTTTTTTTAAAATAAAAAACAGTTCAACCAGTTTATTAACTAGTTCTCTATTAAGGCAGTTTTTAGCTATAACCAGACCAGACTTATGATTGATTCCAGTTTAACCAATTAAATCGGCCAATCGTACTGGTTCATGCTCATAACGCTGGCCATAGCTAAAGTAGGAGCCCATTTTTTTTTATTTAATAAGGTGAAAAGGAAATGAGAAGTTTTTGTAAATTTTTCCAGCTTTTATTTTATCAAAGCCGGTTCCCACTTGCGTCAATTGCGTTAATTTCCAAGACATGAGGCTAAAGACAACAATGTTAGGTTAAAGACTCCAAATATGGTGATCCAGCTTTTCCAATTCCAAATTAAAGGGCCCCAGTTTTTTTAATTATCAATGTTCAACAGTTATCTAAAACAGAAGGAAATTGAACGAAAACAAAATGAAAACTTGTAATTTATTAAAGAAGCAGGTTCCTACTAACTTTCGATGAACTTATCCAACAAACCGATCGTTGATCCAAAAGGTTAGATTTTTAAGAATCATGCACTCTTACAACAGAGTGAGAGGTCGTAAGCCTCTTTTACTAGATCAGATGCCCCCCTTATTGTTGCCGAATTTTATCAGCTAGCGACCCTTTAGGAAACCTCGTGCAAGTGTAATTTATTAATAATTATTCAAAATTTAATTCAAATAATAATCTGAACAATCTGAAATTAAATTTTGGTGCATGAAAGAAAAATAAGTACCGATACGTAAAAGTTGAAATCACAAGTGCTGAATTCAGGAGGTTAATTAACTAAGGATCTAATGTAGTGCTTTTTTTATGTTTTTTGGTGCTTATATACATTTTTTTTTATTGAATATCATTAGACATGATTTCTCTAGTACTCCCCTAGTCGTATTTACAGGTTAAAGAGAGAAGAATAATTTTGGCCATATTTATAGGGCACTTTACTATTTTTTATATTTATATTTATCTTTCTACTCTTATTAAATCCTAGGACAAATTAATAAAAATAATATTTCGTCCTTATTAGGGGGTAGGGGTGGAAATTAAATTTATTAAATTTTAAGATAGAGTTAATGATATTTAAAATTTTTTTATTTTTAGTGAAATATATTAAAAGTGACTTATAAATGAGACAACTGTAGTATTTCATTAATCTAAGTCAACTTACTAGTTCATTTCTCAAAAGCTGGCTTCCACATAATTTACCGTTCAACTTAAAATATACATATATTTTTTTTAACTGATTATTCACCTCCTTTATTTTCCCAGATATGGTGATAACAAAATCAAAATGAAAAGAAATGGAAACTTATGAATTTATTAGTACACCACTTTCTCATAAGCCAATTTCCACCCACCTTCCATGTCCTTTCGTTTACAGGCACCGCCGACTTTGGTTGGCCGAAGTTAATTTGATAAACACATAGATGCAAGCTTAATCAGTTAATCTATTGAGAATTTCTGTCATTCTACATCATTCTCTTTGCCTTCAAATTTTTCTGAGAAAACTCACAAAGCCTTTCAATGGATGCTGGTGCTGAAGCTGCCTGTTCTTTCTCTTCTTTGAACTCGACAATCCAACCATGGAAGCATCATGTTTTCTTGAACTTCAGAGGAGAAGACACCTGAAGAGGCTTCACAGCCCATTTACATGATGCTCTGCAACAAAGTGGTACCAAAACATTCATAGATGATGATCTTCGAAGAGGAGATGTTATTTCCTTTCAACTTGTTCGAGCAATTGAGGATTTTCTCATTTCCATTGTTATTCTTTCCCAAAATTATGCTTCTTCAAGTTGGTGTTTTGATGAACTCCAAAAGATTCTGGAGTCTAGAGAGTCTTTGAATAGACAAGTTATCCCAGCGTTTTACAATATTGATCCATCTCATGTACGACATCAAAGAGGGGCCTTTGCAGATGCCTTCAAAAACATAGTGAAAGATTTCATGAAGATAAAGAGAAGGTGCAGCGATGGAGAAATTCCTTGAAAGAAGTTGCAAACGTATCTGGCTTTCACTCTAAAGATGATCAGTATTTTTTTCCATATTTCACTCTATAAGAATTTTAATTTGAGATCTGTATGAAACTCATGCTACTACAATAGGCAGAGTTGGAAATAATTTACTTATTGCTTGACCCTCTAATTTGCTAACTTTTGCATCTATCAGTTAGTGAATTTTGAGATCTATCCTAAATATTAACTTTGATCAATTGACCTTTAAATTTAGCTAAATTAACCATTCTTTGTTTTAGAAACATCATCTTTGGCTATATTTTACATATGTGTGTGTATATATTACACGTTACACATAACACATAACTTATCCAACTTTCTATTTGTAGATGAAATCAATTTTTTGTAAAACATTATAAAAATTACATGTCGGTCCCAGCAAACTTATTGTGCCATACTATTAGTATGACAAAAAATATATATAGTTCAATTAATTGAGATCCAATGACTTCGTGGTTTTAATTATTTTAATTGTAAAAATTTATATTTTTTGACAATTGTGCCAAGCATAAATACTTTTATAAAAAGGATAAATTTCATTAAATATTTTTATGTAGTTGTTTATAAATGTCACACCCCGATACCAAAAGTATGACTAGTATGAAATATGAAGTAAACTCATATTCTATAAGCCTTGATTAGTTAGAGGTTAAATTAAAATATTGATATATACGTTATATATAACAATAAAGCTCATAAAGTTTTAAATATTTTGTAGAAATTCTAACAAAGTATCTTTTATAATTTGAATCTTCTGAAATTACAATAAGAGTTTGAAATAAGGAAAAAATATGTATAAGTCCTATAAAGCAGACTTATTTATGAGTAATTCCCACAATATTACACTTGAGGTGCAAAGACAATAATGTCTCTATTAAATATATATTACATCAATGAAATAATTTTATAATTACTTCATCAATAATTTAGAACTATTATTTTAACTTTTTATAACTGTAACTTTATATATCTAATAGTTAAATTAATCGTGCATTACAAGTTTAATACATTTTACAACAACAACTATTGTTGAAATGATGAAGTTAAATTGATCATGCATTGCCAACAAAGTTTATAACTACCGTATTAATAATTTACAACTCACATTTCAATATTTTACACATGTAATTTTAATATTTTTAATAGGGATAGTATTGTCTTTGCAACTCAAATTCCAAAGGACCTAAGTGTAGTTTTTTAAATTTTACGGGACTTATTTATAAATAAGTATGCCTCATGGGACCAATATGTAATTTTTCCTTAAAATATTAATTTATTGCTTGACCCTATAATTTGCTAAATTTCCAAATTTCAGTTAGTGAATTTATTAACTTTGATCAATTGACCTTTAAATTTAGCTTAATTTATACACCATCTTCTTGATTTAGAAACATGATCTTTGGCTATATTTTTTATATGCGTGTGTATTACATGTTACACCGAACTCATCCAACTTTCTATTTGTAGATGAAATCAATTGTTGACAAAATATTATGGAAAATTATGAATCGGTCTCGTGGATTAAAATTATATTTATAAATAAACCTCATGAAATTTAAAAATTATAGTCAGGTCCCTTAGGATATGAGTATAATTTAAAATTAGGGTGCAAAGACAATAATGCTCTTATTAAAAATATAGTATATCAATCAAGTTATTTATAACTACTTCAGCAATAATTTACAAATATCACTTTAACTTTTTATAAATATAATTTCACATATCTAATAATTAAATCGATCAAGCGTTTACAAGTTTAATGTTGACTGTATAAAATTACCTCATGAATAATTTACAACTATTACTTTAACATTATACAACTATGACTTCATATATCTAATAGTTAAACTGATCATGCATTACTAATAAAGTTTAACATGAATTCTTTATAACTACCTCATCAGTATTTTATAACTATCACTTTAATATTTTACAACTGCAACTTCACATATCTAATAGTTAAACTAATCATGCATTACTAACAAAGTTTATGTCTTAACACTAATTGTTTACAATTACTTTATCAATAGTTTATAGCTATCACTTTAATTTTTTACAACTATAACTTCATATATTCAATAACTAAATTGATCATGCATTGCAAGTAAGGACAGAATTATCTTTGCACCATAATTTCAAATTACACAATAACATTTCAAGGAACCTGGCTAAGATTTTTAAATTTCACAAGATTTATTTGCAAATAAGTCTATTACAAGAGACCTATACATAATTTTTCCAAATATTATACTATACTATTTTAGAGTATGACAACAAAAATATACAGTTCAACTAATTGAGATCCAATGAGGTCGTGGTTTTATTTTATTTTAATTGTAAAAAATTATATTTTTGAAAACTATGTGCCAAGCATAAGTAATTTTATAAGTAAGATAAACTTTAGTAAAGATTTTTATATAGCAGTCTTTGTGTGTATTTATAAGAGAGAATTACATTGTAGTCTCACATAAGGAAATTAATTATTACAAAGTCTATTGATAATTGAATTAAATTGCATTGACAACTAGTTGTAATTCACCCTAGTTATAATCTATTATATCGTCTGATAGTTGTTTGTCTTGTTTTTCTTTTCTACTCTCTATTATTAAAATTTGGACTGATCTTTTTTTTCAAATAAGTATGATTTAACCGAGAGAATATATTGTCTAGTTCACTATTTTTCTTGTTTGGGAATATTCTATTTTGATTTCAAAAAATTTTAAATATAAATTAACCTTTTTTTCTTAATCTTCTCTTTCGTATGGGCTTGATACAAAATTCATTGAATAAATTGTCATAGGTATAAGGAGAAAACTACAGCCTATCCAGCCATGTTACAAAAGCAACAAATTTGTTAGAATGGAGTCAGAGATAAAAGAAGTTAATTCAATTTTAAAAAAGAAACTCAATGATGTTCGCCTATTGGAAATTTGGGGGATGGGTGGTATAGGAAAAACATCCCTTACAAGAGTTGTTTATGAGACAAACTATGATCAGTTTGATATTTGTTACTTTTTTGCTAATGTTAGGGATCTTTGTGAAAAGGATGGATTAGTTCCCCCACAAAGAAGATTTCTTTCACATACTGGGAAGCTAAAAGGAATAGAATTTGATGATGCATACGATGGAATGAAGAAAATGATAAGCATTCTATGCAACCAAAAGGTTTTAATAGTGCTTGATGATGACAGTGACACAAGCCAACTTGAGTACCTTGCCATAAAGAAAGCTTGGTTGGGTCCAGGAAGTAGAGCACTTGTCACTACTAGGTATCAATAGCTATTGAAAGCTCATGGAGAATTTGAAATTTATGTGGAAAACTTTTTGAACTATGAGGAATCTCTTCAACTCTTTTAAAATAGATAAACTAGCAGAAGATTATTTAGACTTCTCTAGAAGTGTAGTTAAGCTTGCGGAAGGCCTTCCTTTGACACTTGAAGTGTTGGGTTGCTATCTTTGCAGAGGAAATGTACTTGAGTGGAAAGATGCTTTAGAGAAAATGAAGGAAGTACTTCCAAAAGACATTCTGAAGAGACTTCAAATGTTTCAATACATTAGATGATTTGGAGAAAAAGATATTTTTCGATATTGCATGCTTTTTCAAAGGAATGCAAAAGGATAAAGTAATACATGTATTAGATATATGTGGTTTGCATTCGATAATTGGAATACGAAAACTTTTGGAGAAATGCTTGTTAATTGAATATAAAAAATATGATAATAAATGGTATTTGGGTATGCATGACATGTTACAAGAAATGGGTAAAATTATTGTTTTGGAGGAATCAAATAATGCTGGTAGAAGCAGACTGTGGTCAGAAGAGGATATTAAGGAAGTATTGATGCACAATAAAGTAAGTTTCCTTCTATATTTTAAGTTTCAATATTTTAAGTTTTTTTTTTCTGTTGCAAAATTTGTTTTGATTATTAACTTTGATCCTCATCGTTATCTTCAATTGCCCATGGAATTCAAAACAAGTTGGGATCCTCATGCGTTCTCAATGATGCATAATCTAAGAATACTCATCATATCATGTGATGTGTGCCTTCCCCAGGGAATTAAAAGTCTTCCTATTTCATTAAAAATTGTTGAACGAGAAAAATATCCATTGAAATCTCTACCGTTTGATGATCATCCACATGAATGTGTTGAGATCAAAATGCATTGTAGTAAAGTCATAAAACTTTGGAGTGAAACCCAGGTATGTGCGAGCATTTTGTTATGATTTGAATCTTTTCCTATATCAATCAATATTGTTATTTCTATACATATTTGTAAAATCTAATATTTTCTTTTCCTTGTTTGAACTAGATATCAAAAAAGTTAAAGATCGTTGATTTGAGCCATTCAGAAGATTTAATTCAAACTTCTAATTTTTCATTGCTACCAAATTTGGAGCAACTATTTCTTAAAGGTTGCATAGAACTTGTTAAGGTGCATCCATAACTTGGACATCACAAGAAAATCATTGAAGTGGATTTGGAAGGTTGTAAAAATCTTAAAGGTCTTCCATGTAGGCTTAACATGGATTCTCTACGAAGAATGATTCTTAAAGGTCTTCCATGTAGGCTTAACATGGATTCTCTAAGAAGAATGATTCTGTTTGGTTGCTTTAAATTTAAAAAGCTTCCTGAGTTTGTAGAAAATATGAAATACTTCTCAATATTGATGTTGAAAGATTGCAAAAATCTTCTATGTCTTCTAAGAACTATTGGTAATCTAAAATCTCTCAAAACACTTGATATATCTAGTTGTTCAAAATTTTTATCATTGTCAAAAAATTTGGATGAAATGGAGTATAGAAGAACTTGATATGAGTGAATCTTCTATAAAAGAAATACCATCATCTTTGTTGGTCTAAAGTGCTTGAAGAAACTACATGCAAATAGATGCAGTGGAATTGCACTAGACTTTTCATGGAAGTTACTTTCTCCAATTCTAATGGTTCTTGGGTTCAATAGTTGTAAAGCTTCCATGAGATTGATATTGCCTCCTTCTATCTCTGACTTATTCTCATTGAGGGAATTAAATTTAAGAAATTACAATCTAAATGTCAGATCAATTCCAAATGATCTTAGTTGCTTACCATCTTTGGAGTGTCTTGATCTTAGTAAAAATGATTTCAGCAACCTACCTTCTGGAAGTTGTGTTCTTCCTCCTTCATTCTCAAGTTTATCGTCATTGAGAATTTTATTATTGGAAAATTGTAATCTTTTTGACAGTTCAATTCCTAATGATCATGTCTATCGTCCTTAAAATTTTTAAATCTATCAAGAAAACCTACCTCTATTTTGTCTCTAATCTCGTATCTCTACACACTCTTCACTTCCATAATTGCAATAGGCTTTTATCGCTGTCAAATGTTCCACCCAATATAAAATGTTATGAAGCAGTTTGTTGTAATCCCTCAATGAGAATCTTATCATTTCCACATGTGCCATGGAGATTTCTTTTATCATGTTATAATGAAGAAGAACCGAGTTTTGAAGGAATTCATTTCTTTGTTACTTCAAGGAGTGAAATTCCACCATGGTTCCATGATTAAGACTTTGATTTTTTTTTTTTTGACAATAAAAAAAAGTTGTGTCCATAAAAGTTGACAAATCTCATCTTTGTGCTTTGTGATTCAAGATATGGCACTAGAAAGGCCTAGAAATCCAAAGAGGTCATTTTAGCATTAAATTTAACTACCGCCATACATGGATGCCACATGAATGGGTGGCCACCAACACTCATATGCTTGTCCCCTAATTTGGAAAATGTTTGCAATAACCAAGCTGCGATAAAAGTTCGAACAACTTGGGGATTTTCAATGTATCCTGATCTTTGGGAACGAGAAGATGTAGAGTTAATAAAGAAGTGCAGGTGGTGGCGTGTAGCAAGTAAGGAAGCAATTGAGAAGTGCATGCAACACCAAACACCATGAAGATTTGGCATAAGATATTATATGGGTAACTCAATATCTTCCTTTATCCTTTCGTTTCACATTGAAATTATTCTCCATACACTTGCTTGTAATAATTACATAAATATTGGTAATGTGGGTGTGTGAATTAATTATTTAACAATACTTTTATTTGCTTTTGCGTCTGAAGTCTGAAAGCATTATGTTTTACACACAAATTGCATTATTTTCATTGCACTTCCACGTTGAGGATGCTATCTGTCCCCCCCCCCCTCATTTTCATATAAATTAAGAACCAACTAAAAAACATTATTCATATAATTCAATACTACTTTGATAGTTTCTTCTTAATTGCTTATAAGTAAATATACTATTGAATTTGCTTTAACGGATTTCGTTTTGTGTTCAGCAATTCGGAACCGTGCAGATGCAGAGCATGGCATCGCTATTAAATTTGCTTATACAATGAATGTTGCTTTCAGAGGCAAGTACAGAAACAGGGGAAACAGAGGAGGTGGTAAGTATGACCCACTAATTTTTATTTTTATTTTATTCTTTTCTCGCCGATGGAGAATGATGCACCAAAAACAGGGGAACCAATATTTATTGTGAAATTGCAATCGATGATTCAGCGATTAAACATGAAGGTTTTTTTTTTTTTTTGCAAATTATATGCTTTAAATAGAAAAACTTATAATAAGAACCTGAACAATAGGAAATTGAGTTTCGGTACAATAAAGAAAATTAAATTAAGTAGATGTTTAAAAATCTTGTGCAGCAAAGCCAAAGCGACTATATATTTAATTAGCTGGTTACTGGTTAATTATATGATCCAATGATATGCTTTTATTTTCCGATATTTATAATTCCTTTTATTGAATATAATTAGACACGTTTTCTCTTTCAGTGTATGGAGTTTGGAGTAAGTCAAATTATTATATAAAATGATGAAAGGATTACTATAAGAGTGAAGTGGATTAATGAGATTTGGACTGCTTCAATTTTTTTTTTTTTGGGACCAATGGGGAGCTTTCACGTGCCTTCTTTACTGGTAGTGCAGTATATTGTATATGTTTTTTTTTTTTTGGAGTTTAATTTGTCACATATGACTCAGAAAAGAGATTTATCTTAAAATTCTTCCAAGTTGAACGAAAATGGATTTAACTAATGAAGGTGATTATCTCTATCTGCTCAAAAGTTAAAAAGGTTCCTGATTTTTTTCCTCCCAAATTTTATTTTTAATTTGATGTGAAAATTAGTTTATGATATACTTCCCTCGTCTCTATTTAAATATCTTGATTTTCATTTCCATTTTGTCCCTAAATATGTCATGCTCCAAATTTCAAAGTAAAATTATTGCTTGTTTCCAATAATACCCGAGTTAGATGGAGGGTAATTAAGATTTAAAATTGTGTGATATTAATGGAGGGAAAAATTAAAAAAGAAAAAAAATTCTTACAATATATATAGATATTGTTTTCTCTTTGGTAGGAACAAAGAAAGTATGCTTGTAGATGTGCACACAAGTACATACTGTATGCAGTATAGACAGATATGTATCATTGCCATGGTGTTGGTGCATAGAATAACTCACACATACAATAACTCATAAGGGAAAATGCCAAAATGTTGAGAAAAAGGTTATGTAAATGTTTGCGTGTGAGAGAGATTGTAAAGTTAAGAAAATATGCAGGGTGAAGCAGCAGGAGCTGGTAATCTTTTTATATGAATGGAGCTTATAAACTAGATATTCTTGGAACATTCCAAAATCTTCTGCTGATAGAGCTTGAGTCTATGGCTCTCAATGAGATGAATAATGCTTTTTAATCATTTTTTATAAAAAAATGTGGAATTTATGCATTAAATGTTGAATGTAAAGACAAGCAATGAACATTTCTTGACTTGTTGGTTTTCCTCTAAGGCAGAAGACTCTTCTTGGATTGGCTCGCAAGAGGAATATTCCTTCATGTTAACATTGTTGCTTTCTCTGTTTTTGCTGTTATTGTCTCTGGTTCAGTGTTGTTGCTGTTGTTCATTTCTGTTTTGTGTTTGGGCCAATTTTTGCATGTAAAGAAGCAGAAAAAAATAGGAGGAAAAATATAATTTTGAGTCCCTGCACTTCATTAGCATTTTACTATTAGTCCCTATACTTTTTCTCAATGTTTTAAGTTCTCATACTTTATTTTTTTAATGTTTTAGATGCCTCCAAAGTCCTTAGATTTTGTTTATAAAAGGACTTAAAACACTAAAAAAACAAAAATATAAGGACCTAAAATGTCCAAAAATAGTGCAGGGACTGATGGTAAAATGCGAGCAAATTGCAAGGACCCAAGGTTATATTTTTTTCAAAAAAAAAGAAGAAGAAGAAGTAATGAACACTTAATCCAATTTCTCTCTTACATTCATTTATATCCAATTCCTCTCCTCTTCAAGTTGTATATCATTCAAGGATTAAATTTTATGATTCTAACTTCTTAAGAGAATTACACCCAGGTTTTACATAATACATTTAAATACCAAAAAGTCTATTGACAACTAAGCAAATGAAAATGATAATTATTTTAGCCGTCATTTTCCTTTGCTCAATTTTCAATGAATTTATAATATTTAAATATATTGTGGGAAGCTTCAAAGCAATTCTCCCTTGTATTTTTCT